TTGTCCTCTGTACTAAGGCTGCTATCTAAATCGTTCAAGATCATTTGAACATCCATCACCCTTGATCCATTTTAACCAACAGTATGATTATATTATAAAAGCAAATGTTATAAAATATGGCCTATAAATGCCGGCAATCGTTTCATGTAAGTTGATTGTAGATAAATTACACTTGTATGCAGTAAATTACAATTACTTACCTTCACCTTTACGTTACCTTTAAATTAACTACACTCTTAGCACGGATCTATGGAATTTACAAAAAAAATAACAAAAAACGATTTTTCAAAACAAAACACAGACGTTCAATGTCACAACAAAAACAACATGGCCAATATGCAATGAAGTTATACGCATATCGCTCGGTTATACCAATAAAGTGATTACAAAAATACATTTTAAGATATGAGTGTGGTCCAACTTAGTTGCTAGTCCAATATTTCATACTTTCCCCTATTTCCGTGTACACATAACCGCGATATTTTCCAAGGTAGGAAAAATAATCATTTTGATATTGACTATTAAAACGTGAAAGGAGGTAAGCAACGCTTAGGCTTAAAATAAATTACACGTAGGTAGAAAAATTGGTGTATAATAATACAGACATACAGAGCATGTCAGCATATTGTCCTAAGATATGTCCCCTGACTTTCAAACTAGGCTAATACGTGTTATGAAAGTCAGTGATTTGGTTATTTATTCCATTAATTTATATTCCAAATCAAATTTTAACGATAGCTTTGTTAAAGTCAAAGCACACAATATCAATACGTATCAGTGCATTATTATTATGATGAGAAGCGACATATTTTTTTCAAACAAGTAAAGAGTATAATATATCAAATAATAAAGATATAATATTATAATTAAAAGAATACCCCGATAAAAAACTGTCAAGTCTGTAAGTTAACAACTCGTCGAGAACCAATTTAATGAGAGCCCAAACAAGACTGTAAGTAGTTGAGGACTAGGGTATCCTGCAGACTGTCCTGTTACAGCATCAGATAAGATTATCTTATTAGATCATATTATTATGGTAATGCCATCTGAATTCCTTAATATATCAAATTTCAAATGGATCAATCGATTCAAAATGAAATTAAAATAAATACTCATTTTATGGTTGAAAACCCTACGCTGACTGGGACTGGAGCTGATGATCTTTAAACAGCTGAACAGATGTTCATCAAACATAGCTAAGAGCCATTACGATTAAATTAGCCTTTAAATACCGCTTTGAGATCAGAACGAATGGACCGTTTGGGAGGTACAGTGCCACAGACAGACACACAGACAAAGGCTTCAAACTTATAACTATAACTTATAACTCTCTTTTCGGGGGTTATAGAACAAACGTAACTTATTTTGATACAAGCTTCTTAACAGAAATTTCATTCCCCTTTTCTCAATGCTAGCACTTCAATCCTTAAATCACTATCGGAATAAACTAATCATGGCAATTTGTATCAATTCACACCGACATGATTGAGACTGATATCAAAGATGCGGCACCCTTCTCAGGTTAACGCTGCACAAAATACAACTTATTACAATTGTAATAAAGACCCTAATCCATAAAACTAATTGTATTTGCCAGTTTGTCTACTAACAACTTTACATAAGGAAAAATAATGCTTATGACAAAGAAACACGGACGCAAATCAACATGAAACAGGACTTGCATCCTTGGCAATCTACGATTATGGATCAAAGGAGACCGATATCCTGTTTACAACATCCTGTATAAAGCTTGCAAGAATTAAGGACATGAACGCTAAATTGTTGAATCATGTTGCATGTAAAAATATATACGATCGTGAGCATTTCATTGCGCATACTACCAATTATTTGAACGACGTTTGGTATAAATTGCTCACTATATGCCTCCACAATGCCGACATACCCACAGCTTAATTACCACATTATGTAAGTGCACCCACTCAACAGCCCTTGTTAATATTACACTCGTCAGTTAACATTTTAACACCCACCAAAGTAACACTAGATGGACTTAACATTAAATACGTCATCACAGCCGTTAAAACGTTATCAAAATTCTCGTCTAGTGATATCCATACTTTATTAGTGTGAAATGGTAAAGTTCAAATGATAACTGAACATTAATTGACAGTATCTTTCAAGTTATGCCCCTTCGTTTATGGTAAATGGTTACAGTTCAATAGTGCAAGTAAGTAAGTAAAGGCACAATAGTTACAATAGGCACAATGTTAATAAAGTTAATGTTAAAGAAATCACCCACTTGGTGTCTTCAGAGAAGGAAAAGCTACTAAAGAACAAATCCTATATGAATTAAATTTTTATTGAATTGATATTCAATTATTTTTTGTGAAACTACTCCACTAGTTTGTTATATTTATTAATACAAAGATCGAACACTCAGAAAAAACACTCAGAAAAAATTCCTTCGATCCGGTCGGATTCGAACCGACGTCTTCTTGCATACCGTGCCAGACGCTATACCAACTAAGCCACGGAACGAACCAACGGACCTCACGAATTTTTGTATGTGCTTGCGTCGTGTCTTTGTACTTGGCCTTTCAACGACTTTTTAGTCGTAGCGCCATCTATGAGAAATCTATTGCAGATTATCACCCAGTTAGTACCTTTACAGCTACCAGTCCTGGCGAGAGAT